TATAGCACTATAAATTCAGTGCGCAGTGCAATAAAATAAAATGTGCACTTTATGGAAAGAATAATATCATTTACCAATGAATCACTAATAATTGGAAGGGAAAAGACAGCTTTTAATACTTTCCTACAATACCTTCACACTAACAATATATTCATTACATTTTATGATCAAGTGTCTTTGCAAGTATTGGGAAAGGCCCCACAACGGATTTGTGCTTATTTCTAAAATCAGGCACTTTGCCACAATAGACTGCGACAGTATTTCAAACAGGCACTTCAGAGAAAATCAAAGGACTCTAACTAGTGCAAATGGAGAGAGATGCAGTGCTGTCAGTTAGAGAGGGGGCCCATGCCACAGAATTCAGATCAGGATTTGATCCACATTTCTCAGTTCTCCCCCCAAAATTTGAGGTTTTTGGATAAGGGGATTCAGTTGGGCTTGTTATAAACAGAGTCCCTAATTGTGAAATACAAAGCCATAGATTTTAAGTCACCAACGTTCATGCATTCTTATTCATATTAATCTTTTTCTTAATTATTATTTTAATAATGTGCCCAGCACCATAAAGGCTAATGCTGCCCCAAAGAGCTTGCCGTCTAATATGCTGACAGAAGAGGCCTGGGGAAACCCTTAGTAAGCAGGAGCCAGATTCTGCCACGGTTAGTAACCTTACTCTGTGATCAGACCTATTGGGCTAGACTCTCAGCTGATGTAAAGCAGCGCTGCTCCACTGAAGTCAACATTGCTAAGGGTGGAAGAATCTGGCTCCAAGTCTGTGTGCTCGTTCCACAGTGAAGTAATAACGCCTAGGAGATTATAGCTAACTTGTAACAAAGGTAATAGCTAATGTTCCTCTGGCCATTTCTCTTTGGAACACTAGACGAAATCACACAGGGAGGATTTTTTCAGAGTATGAGGAAGCATCATCATGTATCATAGGGCTAGCTCTTAAATATAATTTACAATACAATAAAAGTGTAGTTGCTCAAGACATTGCCAGGATCAGTATTTTGGAAAACAGTTTGGATACTGTGGAGGCAGCAGAAGTAAACAGGGGAAACCAGATTAAAATTTTGAAACAAACTGTAACCCCTTGGCAGAGCAACATTCTTTATTAGAGGAAAATGTGATTCTCCACAGAATAATTATTCACTGAAAATCATGCATGAATAATGCCAAAGGCAGAAAACCATCCTCAAGTAGTAGTATAGCCTCTTTCAGCCCATGGGGAAATTATCAGAACCACTCAGGGGAAACCTATTCTTGTAGAATGAGCATACCAGGTAGGGCAGATATTGCAACAGTAAATCTTCCCATCGGCCTATGCTTGGAAAGAAAAGCACTAGAAAGCTACCTCCAATGTGGTGCAGCCAGCAAACAGCTACTTTGTGAGCCCAGAACCTTAGACTCCAGCCAGAAACAAGGATGTTCCCCATCATAAGACAATAAACTATCTCCACTAAATTTCTTCTGCTGCAATTAAATTGTTAATACCTTAAGGAAAGATCCTTGCCATACTTTACACCTGTAAAGTGCAATTCACACCCACAACATGATTTTGATCTCACTTATAGAGCCAGGCAGGACATATTTTCCCCATCCCATGAATATTTTCTAGAGTTCAAAATTTCTTCCCATCTTGAGTCAGGACGAAAACTCTAAATCTCAAAAATATTCATGAACTGTTATACTCACTTACACCAGTGTAAATCAGAAATAAGTGGAGCTGGCCCACTGTGTAAAACCTGTATAAGTGACATCACAATTAGGCCCCATATAAATCAATAAAGTCTTGGTTACAGATTTCTCAGAAAAGATTTTGATTTTAGTTACCTTTGGACTTTAATCCCCTTTCCTCCCCCCCCCCCCCCCCCCCCATGTTTGCTTTCTTTGATGTTCTTGAATACTTGCTGTGTTGGCTTTAGAGAGAATGTTCAGATACTTCACAAACTACACTAGTGTATATGAAGTTAACATTGCTATCTGTGAGCTTATTATAATCTTGATTTTCGTGAAGATTGTTCTTTCCTACTTTGGAGTCTGGCTCAGCTTTTTTATTCTATCTCATTCTCTTTTTGTGGGACTTGTGGCCAATTTCCCTGCCACACCTTGTGGCAGCAATTGTGACTAAGGGACATTAGAAAACGGACGGTATTTTATTGTCCTTCTGCAGGACATGTGTGTATTCTGTTTTTTCCATTAAGTTTAATGATACATTCTTATGGTTTTCTGTAAAAATCAGTAACACGGTTTATAAAAACAAAAAACAAAAACAAAAGCCCCACTACAACCCCAAAACTGATATCAATGCTATATACATTCAGATGCAAGTTAAATGGCTTCAGAGACCACATATAGCATATTCCTAAACAAGGGATGAAATCCTGGCTTCTCAGAAGTCAACAGGAGTTTTGTCATTGACTACAGTGGGGCCAGGATTCCCACAAAGATATTTAATGGATGAAACAACCGATGTGTACGAAATAGCAGTAGGTAACATCCTACTTTCCAACAACTCCACAGCTTTTTGTGCTACTAACTGATACTAAATTATTATAGGATGTTCTTAGAATACAGCACGATAGCTGGATGCCTTGCAATACTGAAAAATACTAACACATTTTTGGAGAGCATGGTTTTCTGCCTTGTAAATTACTAAAAATAAATCAATGAGCTTATTAAATCCATCATTTAAGATTATGAAAGAAATCCGTTTAGGGAAAGGGATGCTGCTTACATTTTATCTGCTCTCTGATTATCATCACCATCATCTGTCAGTAGCAGCTGAACTGGAGAAGAGCAGTTCTCATGAGAAGGTGGGATGGATCTGGCCAGCCTGCCGGTTTTGCTGGTTTTGGTGAATTCCGGGTTGTACATCAGGCAGAAGCTTCCCCAAGGGTCACTAAAGTTTAAAAGGCCTGATTCTCACTTACACAAACCTCCCTCTACACCACTTGGGTCCTAAAATGGGGGTAATTTTTATACCCTTTGTTTAACTGGGAATCTGGTCCTGCTGAGAACAGACCAGCAGGCCTAGTGGTCCAGGTACCAGGTCTTGCTGCACTGCATGAAGGAACAGGGTGAGCCCTGAACAGGAAATCCACCTGGAGGGAGCAGCACTGCATTCCTTACAAGTAGGAGGAAAATAGGTTAATGAGCTGGTCACTACCCTCCAACAGACTGAGTAGGCAGGTAACAAGCTGTTAGCAAATAGCATTAACCAAACTGTTACAAAACTTCAGAAAGGTTTTATTTAAGGGATGGGTAAATATTCAAGATGATATTTTAATTTAACTGAACCTGTTTACTTGTTCTGAGTGACAGGTAGAGGAAGGGTTAAATTTTGCCTTCAGACAGACATGAATATCATCCATAATGTTCACTCAGGGTCTGATTTTGACCTCACTTACACCAGTTTTACATCACTGTAACTGCACTGATTTACATCTGTATAAGTGAGAGGAGGATCAGGCCCTGTGTGCAACACTCCACTGGGAGAATCTGCATTAGTTAATTTTGCACTTCAAACAGGAAAGCACAAGATATAATTCACAAAGGAACCACCTCCTATTGCCATGTGACTGGTAGTAATTCTCCATCATCTGGTTCCTGTGCCTTATCCTACATCAACCTAAGTAACATACTGTGGACTAGGTGATTTTTAGGCACAATCCTGATGTGGGCTGTGTATCTGCACCACCCCATCGAGAGGCCCTCTGGAAGCACTGTGTCCCTGAGAACCCCTCGGAGTCACAATTCCTTCCCTTCCTTCCTCATTGCTCCTAGGGTGCGGTCAATGCAGGGCCGGCTCTAGGCACCAGCAAACCAAGCATGTGCTTGGGGCAGCACATTTTCAAGGGCGGCATTCCGGACATCTTTTTTTGTTCTTGTTGTTGTTGCTTCGGGCGGCAAAAGCCTAGAGCAGGCCCTGGCAGCAGCAGCGTGTCGCGCCCTGGGGCCGCTGCGGTTCGCGCCACGGGGGAACAGCGCCCGTACCAGGGCCGGGCAGGCTCCTGGCGGGGGACACTCAGGTTGGAGGGACCCTGGGCTGAGGCGCAGCCCGGGAGCCCCGCTGCTTACCCCGACCCTGCTAGTGCTGGACCGTCTGGAGGCAAGGGGGGAGTGGGCAGAGTCAGCACTGGGGCGGCAGGGGGTGCGGGTGGGGTGAGGGGAGAGCCCAGCGCTGGGGCAGCAGGGGGTGTGGGTGGGGTGGGGTGAGGGGGAGAGCCCAGCGCTGGGGCGGCGGGGGAGGGGGGGAGGGCACGGGGGGGAGGCAGTGAGAGCCCAGGGCTGGGGTGGGGGGTAGCCAAAAATTTTTTTCCTTGGGGTGGCAAAAAACCTAGACCCGGCCCTGGGTCAATGCCTGCTGGCTTTTACCAGCAGCAAATTAGCACATACACCACTCTGGCTCACTGGGGGCTTGGCACTAAGCTCTGCCCATTCCCCATTCCTCCCCGACCACCAACTCCAAGGAGAGACTAAGAAGGGATACCAGTGCTTACTTCTGTGTCCCTGGTCCCAAGATGCAGCTAGCTCATATAGGAGTACCGGGGGTGGGGAGAGAGACTCTTACTCCCCTCAAAGCCCGTGCAGGACAAACCATAATTTAGCCCTACCTTATTAATATGACATCAAGAATGGATCCAAGAAAAGGAAATGATTTTCTGCCTGGTACATGAACTCTGCTTATTTAAAATTAGAATTTTAGCCACAGGAAGCTAGTTCCTAGAGCCACAGGAAGCAAGTTCCAAGAATCTTCTACTTGATGCGCTTTTCCGCGCATATGCTGACTTGACTATCCCCATAAATATACAATGCCACCATTCTGCCAGGAAATTTTCATGCAGCATCCCTGAACAATTCAGCAAATCAAAAACAAAACCAGTTTATATACATATTGCTTGAGTCCTCTTTATTAATATTACCCGCTTTTGAGTAAACCCGTTTTAAATATGTCTTGTACGTAAATTCTCCAATGTTTATATAAAACAGAACTGTACCTTGAATGTATCTGCGCTGTTGGGATTAAACAGCTGGTGCTTCCCAGATCCCAGAATAATAGGACCAGAAGACTTGTTTTCTCCATAAGCGTAAAGGGACACTGTTGCTGTTGTGCCAGCTGTTTGGAAGCCCCCAGTGACTACAGTAATCTTCCAGTCTCCTTCTGCAGAGTAAAAATAAAATGGAAACACTTTTATCACAGTAACTGCTATGTGGCTGGGGAGCTGCCTACTGCAAATCATGCATGACCAAGTCCAGGGGACTGTAACTATTGTGCACCTGAGAAGCAATGGTGTTTGGAGACATGCTGGCTGAATTGCAAAATAATGTTAGCAATTCAGGTTCAGCTTGGATAACGATCCAACAGCTCAGATGCTTATCTTGGCCTCTCCTCAAGTCTCAAAGTTCGGCAGGAAATCTCATGAGAACTGGCTGCTCTCTTGAGATTTCTGGCAATTTCCCACCCGGAGCCTCTGTGATAGATGTGGGGGAATCCTTTCCTGCAGGATTTGGATCACAATCCTCCTGGCTGCTGCCCATAAGTTCCATAGAAACAAAAAGTATCAGAACTTTTCAAAACCTTTACAAATATTGGAATTAAGTCAAAATTATCCTCATCTTGTCTCCTTATCCCTGCCCAAATATTAGTGTGTCATGTAACCAAGCACTCTAGTTGCCAGAGGGAAAGTGTGGGATTGAGATCATCTGTGAGTGGATCTCTATGTTAAAGGAAAGGTCCACAAAAATTTGTGAGCCACTGATATAAGGCATCCCTGATCTCTGTAAACTTTAATGCCATTTCTTCTGCAATACACTGCATACATGTTATATAAATATCTGCAATCGGCTTAATACAAATCTCATTAAGAAGATCAATTCACAAAGAGAAATTGCGCTCCTACATCTGAGAAGCAGGAATCATGAGCTCTCTGCCATTTCTTTTATTGTGGTTTTTGCTGTGTGTGTGCGTGTGTGTGTGCAACAGGTTCCACCTAGTGACTTTAATTCATTTTGGAGAAAGCAAAACATTTTGGAGAAAGCAAAATAAAATCCTAGCCCACAGACTTGTTGTAGATAAACGCCATGGTATACACTGCAGTTTTATTAATAAAAAGCCTTGGGTTTGTTAATTGCCACATGAGTCAAGACTCAGGAATCAGACCGAAATGCTTTATTTTGGGCAATGGTTCTACTTCAACCTGGGGGAGGAGTTGGGATAGGGAGTGTGATCTCCTGTTTTCCATGCCAGTAAGAGCTGGGTTCCCACTGAAAATGATATAGCAAATTTCTGGGGGGAATAAGGACCTCACGGGAGAGTTTCAAACACACGAGGGAAGCTAAAGACCCAGTTCCCATTGAAAGGCAATGGGAGTTGGACAGCTAACTAACTCCCCTTTGTGCCTTTGAAAAATTTTCCCCTCATGTCAATTTCTAGAGACCCACTTTCCTAGCAAAGGAACCACATTTACAGGTGGCAGGAGATACATTCACCTCCATTGGAGGAAGGATTATCCCCCAAATACTGAAGGTAGAAGAATTAAGGAGGTGAAAAGGGGGATTCTGAAGGACTCCCTACTCCAACACTCGGTGTATAAGACTATTTTTAAAAATGAAAATCTGCCTTTTCTATTTTCCAACAATGTAATTTTACTTTTCAGAAAGCCCAGGTTACTTTGGGGTCATTTGGCTGGCAAAGAAAGGAGTCTCATCACTTAAGAGATAACATGACAAATAAAGAACATTATTGACAAGATTTAAAATGCAGCATGTTGTACCCTCAGTTCAAATTCTGAGTTCCAAAATTCTGTGGAAAGACACTGTAGTGCTAAATTTTAAATGTGCTAAAAAATATTTTTTTGCCTGGATTTCTATGTTGCCTCAATTATAGTGTCCCAAAAGTCTTTCCTCCTACATTCTAAAGACTGCTCATCATGTTAGTATGATGTTAATACAGAACTTTCTCCTAAAATCTACTTAGGTGGTGTGGGATTGTTGTGCTTGGGTTGGGGGGGGGGGAGGAGGAGGGGCAGTTATGATCCTCAATTTGTGTCCTTAAGGCAGGCAATGCAGTCTTGGAGTATCATTACTAATCTTCTCAAGTCTGGACATTCTGCCTAAATTTGGGAAACGCAGGGGAGACATCCCTAAAGGAACCTTTTACAAGTAGAAATGGGCCTAAGCGGTGAAGTTCAGATGTGCCTCCTGAGCTGAAACTCTCGAAAGATGGTGATATCTGGATTCAGGTTTAAATTTGGACTGTTATGCAGTACGGGGCCATCACTAAAGTCCAAATCCTAATCTCAACCAGGTGTGAATTTTCCCAGAGGCATGCTGGGGGTCTTGGTTTGCACCCATCTTGCTTACACTGAAAGTTTTGAAATGTGATTTGTTGTTTGGTATAAGAAGAGATGCAGAAGTAAAAGGAGTGTGTGGCAGTGGAGGAGATGGTAATAAAGACAGACAAGGAGAATGCTACAGTGAAGTGGTATGTATGGGATAAGAAACTCAAGAATTTCTAATCCCCACCTGGAAGCAAGTGCCCTAACCACTGGGATGGGCTATAAGATCAGTCAGTTTCTCTCTCAATATATCCTGTTGGAGTTGTTACATTGTGTATAAATAATTGAGCATCCAATAGAAAAGAGAGACTGACTCTATATATAGCCCAGTATAACTTGGGATGTTGGAGTCCAGGTTCAAGTCCCTGCTCTGAATCAAGAACTTAAACCTGGGCCTTCCAAGCCTCAGGTAAGTACTCTAACCACTGGGCTAGTGGCATTCTAGGATTGGCTCATTTCTCATATAGCCTACAACTGAGGATATTTTCATCAAAGCCAATAGGTATCCACAAAACATTTCAGTTTCAACAGAAAAAAAAGGGTACTCAGATTTTTATCAACCAGCTCTACTAGCCAGCAAGATGGTGTTTCATTCTGGTTCTGGATCAGGGTCAAGATGCTAAACTCAGAGTGCTCTTTGCAGGCCCAAGCCTGTGATGTCCACTGAAAATAAGTGAACTGAATGCATCATGAGCTTAGAACCCCACTCCCCATCATTTTTCTAGACTTAAGTGGCCATTTCTATATGCAGTAATTTTATTGCACAGTCAGACACACTTGGCTGAATTGATACAATGTAGTGTCCAGTTCTGTGGACGCAGGAAGAACTAGACAGAGTTCCTTCTAAAACCGACTAAAGGCTAGGAACTGGATTGGTGGAACTATGGCAGTATTAACAAGCAAACCCCAGTACAGAGCCTGGTAACTGCATAGAAAATGTTCTTTCTGAGAAAAGCAATAAAAGGATTCAGGCAAAAGTAGTTGTTATTCAAAATAAAAATTATACAAGTAAAATGTGGATTTGAATATAATTTGTATAATAGATACAAATTTTATAATTAACCATTTGCCTTAGGGACACCACTTGAAAAGAGGTACTTGGGTCTCAGTGGATATCTTGATTACTACAGTGAATTATGAACACATTTTAAAACTTTCTCCTGACGTCTTCTAAATTGTTGCTCAAGCTACAGCATAAAGTATTCCTTACAGCCGGGGGGGGGGGGAGTTGTGTGTTATTCAGATATATGCAACGTAATTGAATTAGGACAGAAAAGTCAATCTGAACAAACAAGAAATTGCAGGTAGAATTGGAAAATGGAGAACTAATGGAAAGAGCTAATTATACATGGCCTTGGGTGACAAAAGCCACAGAGCCATGATGGAAAGATTAACTGAAGAAAGTAAAATTAAGATGGATCGTCATTAATTACTAGGCAAATTATAAATGCCCAGATAACCAGTGAAAGACCCCAAAATTATTGGCATTAAAAATGACAGAATAAGGAAAAGAATTTTCAAATAGCACCATTGAAGTGATTTATCATTTAAATCAAAATGAAGAGTTCAGGGCTTACTGCAATAGTCTAATTGTGTATTGTAATTAAAATTTTAAAAGCAAATAAATAGGCAAAAAATGTGCAAGGCAGGTAGTTCTGAAACAGAGACACTCTTGATTAGAATACAGAAAGCAGCAGCAGGATTTACCATTTGCTTCATCTTGCATTTTCAGCTGATGATTTATTTGCAGTTCTGCCAAAAATAAAATATGAAGTGCAGTTAATAATAGACCTGGCTGGTTACATTAAGAAAAGGTGGAGGGAAAGATAGCGTGATATTAACCCTTGGGCTCCTGCATAAGCAAATCCTCCCTCTCTCATCTCCTAATTAATATAATATAATATAATATAATATAATATAATATAATTAATTAATAAACACATACATATATAAAAACTTGCCTGGGAAATGGAACTATGGAAGCTGCAAAAGGGTTAAGGTTAAATTTTAAGTATAAATTCAGCACGAAGATTCTGAGCAAACCACACAAATTATTGATTTCATCCCCATAGTGTAACAATAACCCTTACCTTCAGGGTAGAGCTCGATTTCTGAGTGAATTATTCCCTGGGACATAAATGGAAGCCACCTGAGCATAAGCAAGCAAATAAGAAAGAAGATTGGAATCAATTTGTTCTTCATTGCATGTAACTGAATGATCGGAGGATTATTTTGAATGTTAAACATGTGTAGTAGCAGGGGAATTGTCTCTTGAGCAGGTGCAGTATAGTTTGATACATAGTACAAATTCAGACCTCGATCCTACAAAGGGACTGTGCAGGTTTAAGAGCTCTTGCTGACATAAACTGTACCTTTGTAGGATTGGGGCCTAAAGACAACATTCAAGATAGCAGAGAACTGGTGTGGAAAAAATAAGATCCAGCCTCAACCATAACAGCTGAATCAAAATCAAAGGTGTCTTATTTTAAAGAGGATTTGGATAAGGACTGCCTACCCCATAACTCTAGCCTAGTTACCCCTCAAAGAGATAGTTATTTTTATTTAAAGGTAAACTCTCAGTCCTTGGGCCAGAAGTGCATACAGTATTTGTTCCATTTGAAGAAGAAGCCAGCCTATAGAAAGCCCCATGACATGACACCCCAGGATGGGAGTATCCACAGAGATAGTTGGTGCATATTAGAAGTTAGAGAAAACGAGCTGGAATTAGCTCACTTTACTTATCCGTAATCAGGGGATGACAGAGGGCCATTAGTCTACTCTCATATACAACCATTTTACACTAGTGCACAGCATTGGGTCTGTTTCTCATTTTCATTAATGGCTGTAACAATCAGGGTCCAGACAGCCCAAGGGGAGAACAGAAGGTTTAAACCCCCCAAATGAGCAGTTGAACCAACTGATTGCAGACTGTATTATTCTACTATAAGCATATTGAGTAAGGCATTTCATGCAAGCCTGGAATATTCTGAACTTGATGGTCATTCTGAGATATGTATACTTATCTGTGGTTATGAATCTATGTATTTATGCATATAGAAACTATGCTCATAACCTGTACTACAATTTCAACTACATATCACAGCCTGGAGGGCACCTTCCAAGACAGGGATTTATACGACACCGGCTCCAAGCAACAACCCACTGTCTACCCAGGAAAAGACAATGGAGTTAATGGAAAGTCTTCGAGACATCCTGGCTCTCAGGTAAGAGGGAATTTCTTCACTCTGAATAAATATGAGTCATCATGGACTGAGAGAAAAAAAAAGTAGACACAAGCCTGCTTGTAAAAGACTTTTTCCAAGTCACTTGGCAAGTCACTTGGCAAGTGCTGTCCATGAACTCCTGGATTCTATTACAGCTACGGGTATGCTGGGAAACTCTTCAAAGGCAATAGATAACTTGTATTAGAAAAGGGTTGCATCTTTGTGTTTCTTTTCTGTGTCACTTGTATATGTTTGTTCTCCCTTACTATTTCATCTTTGAATCTGTGGCTTTTCTATTACTTAAGCCTTTTGTTTAGCTTTACCCCAAACAGGTCTCTCACGTGCAAACTGTGTGGAGTGTGTGTGCCAAAGTAAACTGGTGTCTGGGGGGGCTGCGTTCATGCCTTGAGGGGGCGATGAACCAGAGGGCATTTGTCCAAGTGTCTGGTAATTAAGAACTTTGGAAGGATGGATTTGGGAAGGCCCGGGATTGAAAGCATGTTGGTGTCACCCTGCAAGGAGTAACTAGGCTGGTGAGAGCCAGGGTGAGATCTTGGGTCTGAACCACAGCGGCACAGCACCAAGGCATCTAAGTACAGGGCAGGCAGTGACAGAGAGGTCAAGTGGGATGGACTCTTCCTCCACTGGCCTGCATTCCTCCACTGTTCCAGCCTCAGAGCTGCAGTCACCACTGCCACTGTGTAACCCATGCCTGCTTGGTGTGGCACTCTGTCTCCCTCTAGTGGCAGCTAGACCAGCTAGAGACTGATTAACCTGCTAGATTTTGGCTAAGAGACCGGTGTCTTCTAGCTCAGTGGTTTTCAAACATTTTTTCTGGGGACCCAGTTGAAGAAAATTGTTGATGCCTGCGACCCAATGGAGCTGGGGAGGAGGGGTTTGGGGTGTGGGGGTGAGGGCTGCAGGGTGGGGCCAGGAATGAGGGGTTCAGGGTGTGGGAGGGGGCTCTGAGCTGGGGCAGGGGGTTGGGGTGCAGGAGGGGGTCAGGGTTCTGGGCTGGGAGTGCAGGTTCTGGGGTGGAGCTGGGGAAGAGGGGTTTGGGGTGCAGGAAGGGGTTCTGGGTTTGGGGGGCTCAGGACTGGGGCAGGGGATTGGGGCACAGACTTACCTCCGGTGACTCCCAATCAGCAGCGCATCCGGGGTACAGAGGCAGGCTTCCCACCTGTCCTGGCATCGTGGACCGTGCTGCACCCTCGAAGGTCTGGCTCCTAGCGGAGGCACACAAGTGGCTCCGCGCAACTCTCGCCCACAGGCACTGCCCCCCCAGCTCCCATTGGCCGGGAACATGCGGAGCCGGTGCTCAGAGCAGGGGCAGCGCGCGGAGCCCCATGGCCCCCCTACCTAGAAGCCGGACCCGCTGCTGGCTGCTTCGGGGGTGCAGCGCAGTGTCAGAAAAGGTAGGCACTAGCCTGCCTTAGCTGGGCAGCACTGCCGACAGGACTTTTAACGTCCCGGTCGGCGGTGCTGACCAGAGCAAGGTGACCCAGCGCCTTACATGCCGCAACCCAATCGTGGGTTGTGACCCTTGGTTTGAAAAACACTGTTCTAGCTCATGCTAAAGAGGCTCATGCATTGAGCCCCAGAGATCCCAGGTTTAATCCCGGCTACCGACAAGTCATCGGTGTTACAACTATACTCCCAAATGGGGGGAGGTGAGATTTAGTAGTGGTATCCACAAAGTTGCAGGTGCATACCCCTCCCAACTCATGTCAAATCTCCCTGGAGTGTCAGGGTAGAGGAAGCCCCTCTGATGCTCAGCTGTGAGGTATGCAGGATGCCTGCACTCTCTGCAGGGGTTCTCCTCCTCCCACATTCTGACAACAGATCTGCCATACTTCTGCTACCTATCAGGCAGTATACGCCTGCTTGGTGTGTGCAAAACAATCTTTGCCTCATAGGAAACAAAAATGATTCAGCTGAAGGCACAAGAGAAAATGTTCAATTTCTCAAATCTTCTCTACCCGCCAGAAAATCAGAACTGCATCTGGGTGTCTCATCCTATCTGTTTCCAAGCACCACATGTCAATTTCACACCAAGGAATAGCATGAAACTGACAAAGAAAAGGAGCGAGGTCTGCAACAACAGGAATAGATGCTGAGAATAACCAGAAATGATTAACAGTGGCACCTGAGGGAAAAGGTCAATTAATCCCCTGATAAATAGCCAGCTCTTTATTTTCAGAAAACAGGAGCTTTGATTTAAAAGGGGAGAATATAACCATTTTCTAAAGACGTGTTTTATGCCTTGCTGACGAAAAACAGAGAACATTAAACACTGATCCATTTACGTGTTGCTTTTCTGGTTTTCACATTCTGATTTCCTCTCTCTTTTCTGGTTTCAGAGTGGTAGCCGTGTTAATCTGTATCAGCAAAAACAAGGAGTCCTTGTGGCACCTTAGGGGCTAACAAATTTTTTTGGGCATAAGCTTTCATGGGCTAATAACAGACTTAAAAGTGGCAATTCTTCAACAAAAAAACTTCAAAAACAGACTCCAATGAGAAACTACAGAACCGGAATTAATTTGCGAACTGGACACCATCAAATTAGGCCTGAATAAAGACTGGGAGTGGATGGGTCATTACAAAAAGTAATTTTCCCTCTGATATTCACCCCTTCTTGTCAATTGTTGAGAATAGGCCACTTCCACCTAAATTGAATTGGCCTCCTTAGCACTGACACCCCCACTTGGTAAGACAACTCCCATCTTTTCACGTGCTGTAAAATATCTATACTGCTTACTGTATTTTTCACTCCACGCATCTGATGAAGTGTGTTTTAGCCCACGAACGCTTATGCCCAAATACATTTGTTAGTCTCTAAGGTGCCACAAGGATTCCTTCTTGTTTTTTCTCTTTTCTGGATTATCCTTAGAGGAACTTTTTCCTTCCACATTGTAAGGCTATTGCAATCTCCACATGAGAGCCACTTCATTAATCAGTAGTTATGGACTGCTGTACAGTGAGGCTGCTGGGGCTTGGTCCTGTATGGTTCTGAGCTTCCTGGCCCTGATCAGAAAAGCATTTGGCATGTGCTTAACATCAAGCACATACATAGTTCCACAGATCAGGGCCAGAGAGCAGGTACCTTGGTACCTTCCCACCAGCTCACTAACAGGCCCAATCCCAGGAGGTGACGAGCACCTTCAACTACACCTTGAAAGAAGCACTTAGCATTTCATAGCACCAGATCCTAAGAACCTTAATACATTAACTAACTGGCCTTCTAGTTTTCAGTGCTACAGCACACACTGGGCTGTTGGCTTATTTATGCTGCTCTCCCATTAAAACCAGGTTATACAGATATATTGTGTAATCCTAAATACTGAAAACATGTTGATGTATAATTTTAAAAACCCAAAACAGAAACAACATTTTAATTGCAATCCATGAGAATGGCTGGATTTTGCCTGTGAAAAATCAAAAGTCAGGATTCTATTAAGTCAGAAAAAATGTCGACATTTACCAGATTATGGGGGAGGGATAGCTCAGTGGTTTGAGCATTGGCCTGCTAAACTCAGGGTTGTGAGTTCAATCCTTGAGAGGACCACTTAGGGATCTGGGGCAAAATTGGTCCTGCTAGTGAAGGCAAGGGGCTGGACTCAATGACCCTTCGGGGTCCCTTCCAGCTCTATGAGATAGGTATATCTCCATATATTTTTTTTTTAACTGAGAGGAATATGGTATCTGAACCAGGTGGGTGGGGGGAATCAAGTCTTCCAGTATAAAATGAAAATAAAGCCATGAGGCAGTGAAGATAAAGCATATCAGAAGCATGTCTGAGGAACAAAGCATTTTCCTTCCTTGAGAAGTGCATTGTATTGCAGCTTCTTTGGCCAATAAAGAAGCCATCCCTTGGTGGTCCTGCTGCCCTATTTTAAACTCTCGTCAGTAGCAGTGTTCTTTTTATAGCAGCCGCAAAAGGCAGGAATGATATAAATTCTCTTTCCTTTTCACCTTTACAGCCTCTGCTGCTGAATATTTTCTGGTGACCAGCCTCCTAGGTGCTAATTATCACAGAATGAATACACCGAAGTGCCCTGTCATGCATGATGTCTGAGCCATGTGACCCACTGGAGGACGAATTTGAGACTAGCTGATCTTTCTTGCTTGAGGTAGGCAGCTGGCCTCATTTCTCTATAGAACCTTCTGTCTGATTAATGTCAGAGTGTTGTTTGTGTATTGATGAAACACCAACTAGTATGTGCCCAAACCTGCATCCCTTATTCACATGAGAAATCCCTACTCTCATCAGTATTAATAAAAATAATTATAATAATTTATAGGGTTGCCTTAATCTCAAAACATTTTACAAAAGTGAGTGAATATTTTTATTTCTATTTTAAAGATAGTGAACCTGAGGCACAGAAAATTTCAGCAAGTTGCCCAAATTTACACCAAATCAACAATAGATCTGGTAATACAAACTAGGTCTCCTGACCCCGAGTTCAGAGACCTGTCCACTGGGGCACATTACCTCTTATCAATCCACTAATTTCGATGGGTCTACTCACATCAAGTTATTCACATTTATGAGAATTTGCAGTGTAAGTATTATCGTATGGGCCTGAACAGGTTTTTGGTTTCCACAGTTCTTCTTTTCTTGTTAAATGTAAAAAGGCTGGATGATATGGTATTTCTCAAGTGACTTTTGCTATGCTGGCGTAACCCCTGCTTGCTTGGGGGGGGGAGGGAGGGAGAGGAGGGTAGGTTATACTGATTTAATAGCTTAAATTAAGTAACCACCAGAAAACTTTCCCCTTTTTGGCATCTCAGTCATCTCTTCAGCAAGAACAAATGCTACTTCTGGATTGTGCTCCTCGTGAATTTCCCATGGAGAATTAGGCTTTAATTTAAAAACCTGTTTGTATAATTTATCTTTGCTTCTTCCATGGGAAATTCTCACCCACCATCTTAGAGCATTGCTCCACAAGGGACACAGGTTGGATTGCACAAGCCAATCACATAACATTATGAAGTACGGAGTTAGCCTTTGGCACACACTACCTGGCAATCACTAAATTAAGCAAGCAATCCTGGAGTGATAAGTAATATGAGTTTATCTGGCTGGTCCTGGAAAAACCAAACTGAGCACATTTATTGGCTAAATGTTTCACATGGGTATCATCCAAAGGGTATGTAGCCTTAAAGGATTATTTGGGAAGACAAAGCTAGTTTAAAAACAAAAGGGCTGTAGTGTAAATACTACCTCTCACAGTTGAAAATATATTCAGCGTCCTTCCCAGCTTTTCTGATGATTACTTTCTCACAGTACCAGTACTGCGCCTTGTTACTGGCCTCGCAGTGCAATAGCACCTTCTGCAGTTTTCCAAGAGATACAGCTTCCATTTCAAACATATCCACCTAGAAGACAACAGTGCAGACACCACTTTCTAACAGCAGTAAGAAAAGCTAAAAGCTGCTCAGTATTTTAAGGGCATTGATCCAACTCTCATTACAGCCAAGGAAAAGATTCCCATTGGATATAATGGGAGTCAGATTGTTCCCAACGGGGTAGATTCAAAGCCCATCGAAGTTATCCAGTGTCTTTCCATTGACTCAATGGATTTTGGATCAGGTAATAAGTGGACAAGCTAAAAATCTGAATGTAATAATAATGGCAAAAACCTCATGTAAATTACCTTTACGATCCTTCCCCAAAAGTAGTGCAAAATTCTTCAGTACTGATCCAGTACACCTTACAATAATGCTTGAGCAGTGTTTGGGGTGATTACTTTACAATACTGTAACATTCTTTTCTTAGTAAGGGACATATTAGCTTCATGTGGGGTTCCCCCCTCCATTTAAATGTCATTATATGAAAAAGCTGAAATCTGGCATGCCACTTTGTTCTGCTTATCCATTTAGACTTGTGCAAAAGTTTGAAGAAGATTGCTTTAATGGAGGCATGCAGCTGATCAGGTGACAGATTCAGGTTGGCCTAGTTTTGACCTCATGAAGAGCATACAGTTCGCTGTGCAAACTCTCTCTCTAAGTTTAACAGAAAAACTCAAAGGGAAGAGATGAAAAGTATAAATTTATTACACACACACAGAGATATCCAAAAAAAACTTACGCTAAAAGCATGTTAAGGTTGTAAAGTCAAGCACTCTAAAGATAGGAAATGCCAGAATTAGGGGTGTCCATGTAACTTTAGTTCAGCCCCCTTGTGTATATGCATTATGAGACATTCTTTAATTATATGACCACATACTATATTTTCCACAGGACCCCCTGCTTCATTCAGTGAACAGGATGGACAGTGCTCACTGAATGGGTAACTATCCACTATTTCTTTTTATCCTTCTCGTTCTGTGTGGGCCCCCCCCCGCTTTATTTACTGCACAACAACCAAACCTTGCACCAAATACAGAATTGTTCATTTCCTCGTGGGTTTTTCTGCGATGCAGTCATTGCAGCATCTCAGTTCTTTACAAAGATTAATGAACTGGTGTTCGCAATACCCTGGTGAGGTGAGGTGAGGTGAGGTGAAGTGGTATTATTATCCCCATTTCATGATGAAGTTGAAGCACAGAGATTAAAGCCAAAATTGTCAAAAATGTCATCTAATTTTGGGTGCTCAATTTGAGAAGCGTAGGGCCAGATCTTTCAGAGAACTCAGCATTTTATACCACTTTACATGTTCAGAGCAGAGCTCCCATTAACCTCAGTTCCAGCTATGAGTGCTCAGCAAGTTAGTAAATCAGAGCTGAAGCATCTCAAGTTGAGTACCTAGAAAATGAGGAACACAGTGGCCACCTGTGAAAGTCTGGTTTAAGTGACTTTCCCAGCATCACGTTAGGAACTCTGTGGCAAAGACAGGGATAGAATCCAGTTCTCCAGGGCAGTATTCAACTGCCTGAACCAGCAGATGATACTTTCTTTTCCTGCAGTCCCTTGCCTCATTCACTACACACCTTCCAGCTTCTGTAACAAATGAGGTGAAGAATAGAATCTCCTCACTCTTAACCGTTTTGTATAAATAATATAATACAGGACATTCTCATCAGCCTACCCAGAAGAGGTCTCTCAGGCAACTTTATGTCCTGAATTTCAACTCCTTTGTGCAGTACTTTATATCTAATGCATTACTAATGGGGCAGATTTATATTCTATGCTGTTAAATTGGCACAGATCCACCTGCAGTTTCTCAATGTATCTGGGATGTTCTACTGTGCTGAATAATTTAGCATTTATATACGCTTTGCATTTTATAAGTATTCCTCAAATATGTCAATATAACCTGTGAGGTTAGTAAGCATTCATTTCCCCCCATTTTACAGATGGAGAAACTGAGACACAGTGGAGGCCAAGTGACTTGCCAAGGGCACTCAGAAAGTCAGCGTATGTCAACACTGAAATAAAACACCTGCAGCTGGCCCATGTCTGCTTGCTCGGGATGCGAGGCTATAAAATTACAGCATAGTCATTTGAGCTCGGGCTGGAATCCAGACTCTGGGCCTACATGAGCCCGAACAGCTACACTACAATTTTATAGCCTTGCAATCTGAGCCTCACAAGCCCGAGTCAGCTGACATGGGCCAGCCACTGGTGTTTTATTGCAGTGTAGACATATCCTCAGTGACAGGACCAGAATTAGAACTCAGTAATTTCTGAAATTTGGTCTCCTGCTCAGTCCACTAAACCACGCTGCAGAATGCAGCTTGTGTATTTTACTTATGGTAAGGCTCTTAGGTACATGAAAGACAAATTAGATAGTTTCATTTACACCTGGATTGCATTCATCAGTATCAAAATGCTTTACAAAACTGCCATGTGTTAGAAGAAATAGACAGCAAATGTTCCTACTGAGATTTGAAGCCATGAAACAATTTTTGTGCACTCATTTGTGTCCAATTTTGATCTCTTATGCTTTGACTGAAAATGTCTGTATTTTCCCTTGTGGCTTTTCTCTTCATCTTGATTTTTTTTCTTTCTTTTTCTATTCTTTTATTCTCCTTAATGTTGCCTTCCCCTCCTCCTCCCCCGCCCCCACCGCCCCCCAACTTCCCATTTTTACTCTTGTTCCATTATTCATTTCTGGTTTACTATGTCCTGTTTTTTCCTCACTTATATTATCATCTCCCGAAATGGCAAGCACCAAATGTACTGTATTATATCTATGAAAATCTTTAATAAAAGAGTAGCTAAATAAACTGAAATGTGTCTGTATCCAAGATTTCGATTAGTTCCCCTCAAAACCAACTTTAAGCATGTATAAAGGCTACTTTAAACATGTCTCTGTGAATATGCAAACTTCCTTGCTCAAACTTACCATTCCTCTCTGAAATTTCACTGGCATATCAGATTTATGCAGAAGTCTTAGACCAGAGTCTCCTCTCTTTCCATAGATACATAGGTAGATCGGAGAGTCTGTTTCAGCTTGCTCCAAATGGCCAGTGTAAACATAAATGTGGTATCTCAGAACTTGCAAAACCGAGAAAGGAAAACACAAGTTAGTTATTCATACAGAGAGATCACAATTCACATGTGTTCAACCTTCAGTCATAATGAAGACTCCACCACAAATCTGGCTTGCACACATTTGCAGAGATTATATTTTCAAGAACTAAATTTAAGAGTTTTTTGCGATTACTAACAATACCTTTATGAATATACTGCTCATGAAATATAACATAGCTAACCTGAATCCAGTACATCTAAGTGTGTACTTCCAAAGTATACACGTACTTGGATAAATGGGTTTTCCTGCTTCTTCTACTGGGAGTTCACATATAATATCTCCAGCTCCACGGCTTCTTGACAACCACTTGTTTGCTGGAAAATGCAGAGTCCTCCTGCTCTTTACATGGTGCAGTGTCACCTAGGGAAGAAGCAGTAGCAACAACCATGATGCAATGCAGTTTCTTCAGTTCTGCAGTGCCCGGTACTGAAGAGATACATTTTACTTTTCTAATTCTGTTACTATTTTACCAATGTGCCTCCACCTGGAACTAGAAAGACCATCTTTAGAGAGAATCTTTATGCTCACTCATTCCTTGGTATCTCTGCTGTAACTGCCAACATCTATTCTTTTTATCTGCTAAGAGTTCTCAAAATATGTCTTATTTTTGGTGTGAGCAAACACATGAATTAAATTTGCCTTCTTACCTTACTAAACATAACTGGTTCTGATTTTTGTCTACAGATAAATTCCATGGAAAACTGCCTTCTGAACTGCAGAATGAAAACATTCTGAAAAATGAGCAGTGAGACTAGGTTTTTGGAAAGGGAAGTGGGTCTGTTACAGGACCATTTCCAAATGGAAATGGGCTGAAACCAAATTCCTGAATCTAAATCCCTCTGAACTCTGGTGGGGGAAAGCACGTGTTTTCATAGATTCTAAGAAATCTATGTGTTGAAACTGGTGGATCCAGATCCAAATTCTGTAGCTGGTTCCTGCTTCTATAACGGAACAAACCAAACCCCTGCATCCAAACACATTTACATCTTCCCCAATTTAAGATAGTTCAGGATCCAAATTTTGAGCTATTTGCTACTGAGTGCTATGGTAATAACTGTCTTGTTTGTTGCTTCATGTTATTAGAGGAGCTTTTTTTCCTTTCCTTCTTAGGGATGGTTATTATTGGTCTTCGATTATAGCAGCACATACTACAGTTTTCCCTTCCTCAACTTTCATTAGCAGCAAGCATTTAGTGCCAAAACCATTCTGTCTCTACACTCTTGATGCTGTTTGAAATATGGTATTCTGAGAAAAAGTTTATGATTAAAATTACGAAATTAGATATTTGCACTCAAATTCTAAAAGCACATTTTAGAGGGGGAGAAAAGACTCCTTTAAATTGCTTCCCCATTAAAGTGGACATGTATTTTACTTAAAATAATATTCATTTAAAAGAGAGAGCATTTGGGTTCCAACATGAAATACTTTTGCAGCAGTGATTTTTAATCACTAATTGAATTTACAGGACAACCTCAAATGGTTATTGGCACAGCTCCCCTTGCTGATTCAGAGCAACAACAAATGTTAGCTGCATTGACAAAAAAAACACAACTTTCAAGTTAATTGGTTTCCTTAAGTGAAGGGAATTCTTTGAAATCCCAGAGTTGCTCTATGAAGTTTGGGCTAACATATTAAAGAAATGTGCTGTAACCAACAGGTTGGAAAATAGATTTCCTGAAATTGTTTGACCAAAACTGAAACATTTAAACTTCTATTCAGGTTTGATATTCCTAAACTTCAGGCCTCTGAGCTAATGTCAAAAATCTGTTACTGCCATGCAGTTCTGGTTTTAGGATTCAGGCCTTGTAAGATGAAATGACAGAATAAAAGGCAGGCACGTGTGTTTCCATACACATAGGTTAGGCAGGGCTGCCGGGGGGGGTGGGGAGGGGGAGAGGGAGGGCCAAGTGGGGCAATTTGCCCCAGGCCTCTGGCCCCAGAGGGAGCCCCACGAGAATATAGTATTCTATAATATTGCAACTTTTTTTTATGGAAGGGGCCCCCGAAATTGCTTTGCCCCCAGGCTCCCTGAATCCTCTGGGCGGCCCTGAGGTTAGGAGACAAAGCACAGGTACTTGGTCTGGAGTTCTGAAAGGAATATTACATGATAGGTCTGTTCTAGTATGAATTTATTCTACCAAGTGTTATTCAGCAAAATAGAATAGAATTAGGTCACTTAGTAGCTCTGAAATATGTTGTTCCAAGCATGGATATTATTGTGTGCAAGGATATGACTGGCCTATTCATAGCCAAACTTCGGTCTTTTTCTCCCCATGCAGTTGTCCATGGTGTAGCTGAAATTCTGTGACCTTCCACGGCCAGTTTCTAGAGGTAATATAAGAGCAATCTACAGCAAACTGAAAAATACTGTTCCATTTTTTAGGATGCAAAATTTGACAGAGTATCAATACTCCAAAATTAACACCTAGGTACCACAGTGATTGGCACATTAGAAAAAAATGCTAACAATGCCAAGTTTGGGGGAGTTTGAATTCAAAGTTTTGGTTCTGATCCATCCCTTTTATAAACTTGACAGTGATAATACATTTATGTAAATGCTTTGATGGCATGTATTTTGGGATTACACAATCTGTCACTAATCTCACCCTCTCTGAATGCCCTGGTTAAGTGCAAAATTAGGTATTTTTCCCCAGAATCCCATAGTCAAAGAATTTCTCATTGGCCCTGGGAAGTAACTACTCACATACGCTAGGATGTACAGTATATACCATGATCAAAGGACTCTGTGGTTACACACAAGTAGAAATGTGCCAAAAAAGTTGAACCAGAGATAAAATCTCAAGTTTTCATTGTTATTGCAAATAAAACATTCCACCATGTTGCCTTGACATTCAGTAAGGTCTTTCATTGCAGGTTTGCATGTCAGCTAGTCTTTAGCTGTCTTATGTTAAGATTCATTTAACCCAGTGGTTTTCAACCTGGGGTCTGTGGACCCGTGGGGGTCTGCAGAGTAGATCTAAGATTTCCAAAGGGGTCTACAGCTTCATTTGAATTTTTTTAGGGATTCACAAATGAAAAAAGATTGAAAAGCACTGATTTAACCAAAACCAACCAAGTTGGGGATCAGTGATGAGCTGAGTGAATCCCAAACTGTCACCACATCCCAGAAAATGCCCTGTGTCAAGTTTCTTATAGCTAATAAATTATTAATATATTTTATAATGCATTTGGATACTTTAATGAATAATATAGGCCCATTTGGTGAGCACAAGGGATTACGTTTATCCAGTCGAACTGGTGCAGCAGTAGCTTCATGGACAGAGCTCAGAATGTGTTCTGTTCCTGACTCTGACACAAACTTGTCTAGTGACCTTGGGAAAGTTTCTTAAACCACTTTCTGCCTCAGTTATCTCATCTGTAAAATGATACTTACTCTTCTCTATAAAGTGATTTGAGTTGAAAAGTGCTAAATAAGTATTAATTATTATTTTAATGATCACCTACCATCCCATTCAGTTTTTCCACTATTTACTATAAAGTCACAAAGCAATGAATTAAAGCACTAATTATGCTGAAGACTGATCAGCAAATTTACCATAAAAATCTTAAGAACATAGGAATGTCCATACTGGGTCAGACCAAAGGTCCATCCAGCCCAGTATCTTGTCTGCCGACAGTGGCCAATGCCAGGTGCCCCAGAGGGAGTGAACCTAACAGGTAATGATCAAGTGATCTCTCTCCTGCCATCCATCTCCACCCTCTGACAAACAGAGGCTAGGGACACCATTCCTTACCCATCCTGGCTAATAGCCATTAATGGACTTAACCTCTATGAATTTATCTTGTTCTCTTTTAAACCCTGTTATAGTCCTAGCCTTCACAACCTCCTCAGACAAGGAGTTCCACAGATTGGCTGTGCGCTGTGTGAAGAAGAACTTCCTTTTATTTGTTTTAAACCTGCTGCCCATTCATTTCATTTGGTGGCCCCTAGTTCTTATATTATGGGAACAAGTAAATAACTTTTCCTTATTCACTTTCTCCACACCACTCATGATTTTATATACCTCTATCAGATCCCCCCTTAGTCTCCTCTTTTCCAAGCATAAAAGTCGTAGCCTCTTTAATTAATCCTCATATGAGACCCGTTCCAAATGCCTAATCATTTTCATTGCCCTTCTCTGAACCTTTTCTAATGCCCAGTATATCTTTTTTGAGATGAGGAGACCACATCTGTATGCAATATTCAGTCTTACCTTTTCTAACTTCCATTCTGGGTGTTCACTTGTTCCATCGTGTCCTATTCTTATCTTATAGAATTCTCCAATATACTTTATTTCAACCTGAATTTAAACACAAAACAGCACATGTAAATAAGGATCAAGCATTGAAGCTCTATACTTCAGGCTTGCTTGGCTTGTGATGTGAAGGTTAGAGGCTGTTTAACCAAAGCCCACATTGGAGAACTGACCCGGCAGTTGATTCAAGATTAGAAGGCAGCCTTACATAATTCTATTTGCCCACACATATGGGGTGAGAAGCTTTTTGACAATAAGAGTGGGCATGTGTATTTTGTGCCCAGGCTGCTATCTTTTCATGATAGTTTTGCAAAAAAACCCAACCCTCTAAATATTTCCTTTCCTGTGTCTTAGCTTATTGCAAGTGAAAGAAAAGAATAATGTACTTTTCACCATTTGTGCTGTGTTTCACTTTTTGCCATTCATTCAGCTTGGCCGAGGGCCACATTTTTTAAAAAATTAGGCATAAAGTCACATGCACAACTGTAATTCTTTCCCAATTTCCCTGAGAAAGTGAAGTACCTATGTGTACAAAGATAGGCACGCAACAATTCATGCATGTTTTCAGGCAAACCTTGGACTGCCCCTTTTCAAAATCTGGCCCTGAAAATAGGCTATTCAGTTTCTCTTCGGCTTAGGCTCCAATATAATTAGATGGGTTCCACCTTAGCCCCAATGGAACCAGGATGCTGGCACAGAAAATTAGCAATATTTTTGAGATGGTTACAACTGGTAGGTTGGAGAAAAAAAGGTTGGCCAAAGCTGAACGGTGAGTGATACAAAAATAAATCTGTCCAGTAAAAGATAGATCAGAAATTACAGCTGAGCTGGAGGAGGGATGGTTTACATCAGAGGTACATTCTGGAAAAGTAAAAGAGTGGCATATAATAAAGTTGAATAACAATAGGCATGCCATCAAAAGTGAAAACTGAAACAGACTGCATCAATGTGAGATGCTTAAAAGCAAAAACAGATGAACTACTGTGCCTGGCAGTGGAAGAGGACACTGATGTAATTGGCATTATTAACATATGAGAGCATGTCAAAAACTCAAGGGGATCTAGTAATATCTGGCTAGGTAGGACAGATTAGCTGGTAGAAGTGGGAGATTAGTACTATATCTAAAAGAGCCTATTGAATCTAAGAGCCTGATTCTCCTCTCACTTATACCAGTCTAAATCAGGACTGACTCCATCAAAGATAGCAGAGCAATCTTGGTGTAAAACTAACATGACAAGAGAATCGGGCTAATAATTTCTGAGCGGACAGGACCATACAATAGAATCTGAATACAAATCCCAAATCATATGAATACAAATGTACCATCAACCTCCTGTTGAGGAAAAAGGTATTGAGTACACAACAGTAAAGGAGATCAAAGAGAAAACTCAGGCCCCACTCCGGCATTGAGATCTCCTAGAGTGGAACCCTGCACATGCTCCAAATCCCACTGACATATGCACAGGCACAGGGGTCTGTTCAAGCAGATCCCAATGCAGGATTGGGTCTATAGCTAAAAAAGAAGACCCAGGGAGCGAGTTCAGTTACCTACATATAGATTGGCCATTTGTCACAATGAGAGAAGCAATTTCATGACACCTTAAACCCTTGTTTCTTGGGTTCTTTTACAGCATGTAAAAGAAAGACTACTCTTGACTTAGGGCTAAGTAACACACAGGGAGTGGTTCAAGGAGCAACTGTAGTTAGGCCACTAAATAATCGTGACCACAATACAATTAAATTCAGCATCCTCGAGGTGAACCTTAATCCCTCAATGTTGGCAGTCTCCCTTTAATTCAGGTCAGAAAATAAATAGTAGAGATGCCAGTGTAAGTTTATGAATTTGCTGGACCTTCTGAATCCTAGATCTAGGATTGGAGTAGACAAAGCATGGAATGGAGAATCCCCTTTCTCTTCTGGAATATATCAGCAAATCAAAGTGCAGTCAACACTCACAGGTACACTTAGACCTAGGATTACTTTCCAGAAATTACTGCCATTTTGCAGAGTTGTTTTGACAAATATTTAGAGCATCTGTCCAGTTTGTGAACACAGAAATGTAAACCATGCAGCAAAATAACATCTCTCAGGATGCATTAGAGCAACACGGTTAAAACAATTTCTAACATAAATCCTAATATTGGTCATATAATTGTATGGAGGATACAAAAGGCCTAAATAATCCAGCTCCAAAAACATGGTACAGAGAGATCTGTAAACCGTTAGAAGTCACTGATGTATTCTTACCTTTTTGATTGAATACAGTTTGCATTTCACTTGCACCTTTACTTTGTAAAGCATTTTGTAGCACCGTAAGTATAAAGGATACTCTTATAGTCCAATTCTATCCCATTTTTCAGGTCTTTTTGATGCTGAACTGTTATCATTATTTAAATTGAATACAAATCATTTCACATCCTATATATTGTACTACAACTAGAGTTCTCAGACACTTGAAAAGCAGATTTACTGTCAGATTATTTCTCAGTGAGTGTTCTTCTGACTAAAAGGCTGATGGCAGCATCCTCTGTCATATTCTCCTTTTTCCTATCCCAGCTCACTGCTGGTTCAAATCCCAAAGAGCTATTTACATTGTTTTAAATAGTTTTCTTTTTTTACCCTTTCTTTTAAAAATCCCTACTCATATATTATCACCTACTCTCTATTTCCATTAATAAAAAAAAAGTTTCCTTGTCTCCCCTCATAGCCTAATATTTCCCCAACTCTTATTTCTAGGCCCAGCGGCCTTTATAAGAACATTGTCCTGCTCCCCAGAACACTTTGCATGGCCCATACAAAGAATGTTTAAGAGAATAATTGAACTCAGTGGTGCCAGCCATGAGTCTGTCCCAAACCAGAGGGAAGCTCACCACTGAGGTCACATGCAGGGTGCTTGTCACTC